AAGATACAAATTTTATCATCGAGTGTTGAAAGGATTTTCACGAGTGTCGAGCGCAGCGATGAACGATCAAACGCACCATATGGCCGTATTATATACTGAGCACAGAGATYTTATGAAATAAATGAGTATAACATATAGCAGATTCTTAAATCATGCCTATGCAATACTGTCATTAATTGACTCAACTGACCAAGACAACTGCACAGCAAAATGTAGTTTAATAAAAGAGTTTTTAGCTGTTGTTGTTCTTGTTTGTTCGTTGTTTTTTTTWAATCTCTAGACTGTACTTGACCTTTCCCTATTGCGGCTTGTTTACCCGGCTTGTCTAATTAGCGTTGTAAAGAAAGAAACACAATAGAAATCATGACTGTGAGGGACGTTTTATATCTGATATAGATTCGTCTTCATTTGCATAAACTTTATCTTGGATTTTCTCTATCAAACTTGGTTCATTTCGTAAAGAATTCGGTACAATATGAGAACATACATCATGAGTTTTCTAAGCCKTTTAATAAACTCGCAGATCGTGTTTTATCGGGTCTAAAACCACTCGGCTGCGCCTCGTGTTTAATTCTTCGTTTGCACGTGACGTCATAGACCAAGAAAATAACAACATAAAATTAATTATGAATGCTATAAACTCGATTCTTTGATATGTTTTAGACAATTATGATGTCACTAAGTGTAGAAAATTTCAAATCGTTTCATCTTTTTGTTCATCCGAGTTGTGCGAATCTAATTTTCTAATCGGTAATCCTCACCTCATGTATTTTTCCCAAATCAAAATGTTTTAGTGTTGTACAAGTTATTGTAGATTTGGTACATGTTTGAAGTGAATTTGATGGATTTTTGTCATTAAATTTTTTTTTTAAATTTTGGCCGCCATGTTGGATGATACTAGATATCATCCAGCGAGTTTTCGTCATACATTTACACTAAAATATCGGTAACTTCGTTCGCTCATAGCTCGATCGTTTTAGAAATTCTCTAATGCTCCAATTTTTTGCTCAGTGTTGTATTATAAGTAGCTCTACATGTTCATAAGGATTGTTTTTTGATTGGAACCAAAAAGTACTTAAGCACCAGCAAAATACACGTGGTTGCAAACGAAGAATACCCGATAAAACACTCGCAGGAGTGAAAGAAGGGAGAGAAAGAGAAGAGAGAGTCTGTTTGTGTTGAATATTAAACGAGTCTAAACAGTGGCGACGCAAAAACCCGAGGGTTCTGAATTCCTTGGCAGAAACAGTGTTTATGAGCATGTCCTATTTGGTTCACTGGTGACAGTAACCCCGAGATCTTTTACCTGACTAAATTGAATCAAGGGCACTAGGACACCGAATGTGGTTGGATATAGGGTTTTATTTTCCTTTCGATTATTTGAATTAAATTAACGTTATACACTTGTTAACTTATCTTGTGTCCGTGTTCCTTCGCTGTAATGCAGCCGTTTTCTTCCAAAGGTCAAACGGTTTGGATTCAGCTGAAAATTCCTAAGAATACTCTTTAAAGGTCCAGTAATCACTGTATGAAGTGTTTTCTCGATATTCAGGACGAAACTATGATATTTTTTACGATTATTTTTTGGAGTCTGTGACGTCATACACTCAACATCGAACATCGCTCCATACATTTGTTTGTATTTTATGATCAAAATATCAGTAGTAAAGGGAGAAAGAAATACCCAAACACCCCAAAATATAAATTATAGTCACAAGTAATGTGAAATAAGCACATCAGCCGCCCTTTGGGCTTCATGGGAATAAAATAAATCAAGGATTTATATACAAAGAAATGTATGGAGGGAAGTTCGATGTTGAGTCTATGACGTCACAGACTCCAAAAAATACTCGTTAAAATATCATASTTTCGTCCTGAATATCGAGAAAACACTTCATACAGTGATTATTGGACCTTTAAAGAGTATTCTTAGGAAGTTTCAGCTGAATCCAAGTTTGAGCGATTTTCGTCAGAGTAGCACTTTAACGGCCGTTTGTTGTACTATACCAACAACGCGACCGCGCAATGCTCCTTACGTCAGTAATATTCAACCGTCCTAGTGTTAATATGGTTAATCAAATTCACCTTAAGTGTGTGATTCAAAAGGCGCTTGTCGATCGTTTACAAGTATTATGAGCCACACTCACCTGGCCTATCCAGGCCTATCCAAACGCGTGAAGTCAACGTTTTTGATTGGCGGCAATCTATTGCAAAGTGCACGTYGCGATTTTTGTCTTGGTTGGCCGCGTAGCAATGCAATGGTGGTAAGAAACCATGAGGCGAATGTATAGCCAACGGATAGTATGAGCTTATAAATTAAAATCATCAAAATACGGTTCTAAATTTAAAAAAATTCTTATGAGTCATATACAAATGTTGAGGAAAGCGTGAGATTTTCAAATCCACTTCCGGTTTTGTTTTTTTGTTGTTGTTGTTGTTGACAGGTTCAGTTTTAGTTCAAGGAGAGACGATTTTCAAACTTGACCCCGGTTATGTCACGCATTTTCTCTTGTAAAATACATTCAATAGCGTACATTCAACTCAAAAAGTACGATGTTTTTTTTAAATAGAATTCGATCCAAACCATAAAATACAGTCCGTGAATAGTTGAATTAACTGAATCCACTTCT